CGAGCGTTTCAGCCATGACACGTGAACCACCGAGTGTATCTAACTCTCTGCGGGAAGGGCCAGCCTATAGGCTACCGGCCCGATACGCTCGGTGATGGTGTAAGGGCCGTAATATTTGGCCGAAAGCTTTTGCGAGCGACAGGCGGCGACGAAAGCCTGCCAATATGGTTGTAGCCTTAAGAAGACTTCATCCCCTACTTCGAACTCTCGCTCGGTCCTCCGTCGATCTACCTGCTTCTTCATCCTTTCCTGTGCCCGAGCTAAGTTTTCCATTAGCTTCATCAGTGTCGTCTCCCAATCCTTCAACTCTTCTTCTACTGCTTGAACCTTGGTGGTACTGGGAATGTAGGTGAGAAGATTGGGAGGAGGGCATCCATAGACTGCCTAAAATGGGGTGGTGCGGATGGCGGAGTGGTAAGAGGTGTTATACCACCACTCTGCCAAGGCTAGCCATTTGGTCCAAGTTTGCGGGCTCTGTCCGACGAAGCAGCGCAGATATGCCACCAAGGTCCGATTTACCACCTCAGTTTGCTCATCAAATTGGAGATGGTAGGCCAAACTCATCTATAGTTGCGTACCTTGGAGACGGAACAATTCCTTCCAAAAGTAACCAGTGAAGACTGGATCCCAATCACTCACGATACTGCTGGGCATCCCATGAAGCTTGAAGATGTCCTCCATGAACGCATGAGCGACCACCTGAGCCGTGTAGGAGTTTGATAGGGCCACAAAAGGGCTATACTTGGTCAATTGGTCGACCACCACCATGATAGTTGACTTCTTATTAGAAGGCGGCAGTCCGTCGATGAAATCCATCGATAAGTCTCTCCAAATGTACTCAGGTATCGATAGGGGCTGCAGTAGTCCTGGAGTGGGAATATTTTCCTTCTTGTTCCGCTGGCATGTGTCGCACTAGCGGATCCATTGATGCACCTGCCTTCGGTACCCTTTCCAGAAGAAGATCCTTCCCAGTTGCTGCATTGTCTTGTGGTAACCAACATGCCCTCCCAAGGGACCGGAGTGAGCTTTGGTAAACAACTTCCGATGGTAGGCAGAGGTTAGCCCAAGAACCACACGTCCCCTTCGCCATACCAATTCGTTCTTCCATATGTACTTTGTGTTGGGGGCCTGTCCCTATTTAATTTCTCTATCAGCCCTTTCACCCATTCGTCCTACTCCTATTCCTGGAGTAGCTCTTCCACCCACTGTAGCAACGGGCTCAAGATGGCCTACACTTCCCCTTCAACGTAGCGGGATACACATCCGCTGCAGCATTCTCCCAACCCTTCTTATATTGCAATGTGAAGTCATACCCCATGATCTTGATGAGGAGTCGTTGCTGGTAAGGAGTGGTGATCCTCTGCTTGAGCAGGTATCCCAGGCTCTGATGATCGCTCTTCACTACGAATTGTTGCCCCAGGAGATACTGCCGCCACCGTTGGATAGTCATTACAACTACTAAGAGTTCCTTGTCATATGTAGATCTAGCTGCGTTGGTGGGGTTTAGTGCCTGACTGAAGAAGGCTATCGGTCTCCCCTATTGAGATAGAATGGCACCAATGCCAACACTTGACGCATCACACTCCAGCTCGAAGGGAGAATTGAAATCTGTTAACGCCAGTACCGGAGTGGATGTCAAGGCCTCTTTTAACCTTTGGAAAGCAACCTTGGCTTCCGGGTTCCAGCCCTAAGCACCCTTCTTGAGCAGTTCGGTCAGTGGTCGAGCCAGTTTTCCATAATCTTGGATGAACTTCTGGTAGTACCCTATGAGTCCTAGGAATCCTCTGAGTTCTGTAGGGGAGTTGGGCCTAGGCCATTTCACCATACAGTCGATTTTACTGGGATTCACTTCCACCCCGTCGACTGAAATCACATGTCCAAGGTAGCTTACCCTGTCCACCCCAGAGCAGCACTTGCTTCTCTTGTCGTGCAATTTGTGGGCCTTGAGAGTTGCCAGAACAAATCGGAGATGCTTGATATGTTCTTTTGTTGATCAGTTGTAGACCAGGATGTCATCTAGGAAAACCAAGACGAATTTCTTCAGAAACCCCCGAAAGACTTCGTGCATGAGCACTTGGAAGGTGGCTGGTGCATTGGACAACCTGAAGGGCATCACCAGAAATTCGTAATGCCCATCGTGCGTTCAAAATGTTGTCTTAGGAACATCTGAGGCTCGTACTCGGATCTGATGGTACCCGGCTCGAAGGTCCAATTTGGAGAAAACCTGGGATCCGTGCAACTCGTCCAAAAGTTCGTCAATGTTAGGCATTGGGTATCTGTCCTTCACCATTACTGCATTTAGCTGCTGGTACTCTACGCAAAATCTCCAGCCTCTATCTTTCTTCTTCACTAGTAGCACTGGTGAGGAAAACAAGCTTGCGCTGGGCCAGATGATCCCATGGTTGACCATCTCCTAAACCAGTTTCTCTATCTCCCCTTTGTGATAATGGGGATACCGATAAGGACGCACACACACCGGTGCCGCCCCCTGATGCAACGGAATGGCATGGTCCAAGGCCCGTGGAGGAGGTAGACCCACCGGCTCTTTAAAGACATCCTCGAATTCTTTTAGTACCGATTGGATCTCGGGATCAATGGTGAGCTCCGTCATGCTGTGGTTGTCTAATATCTGTAACAAGAAACAACTCCCAGACTTGTGTACCTGTTTCTCCATTCAATCCCCAACTACTGCTCTCAGTTCAGGGGATCGGTGGCCATGCAGAAGGTGAATGTCGGCTTGGTCTTGGTATTCTAAGGAGAGGCTGTTGAAGTCCCATGTGACTAGGCCTAAGGTCCAAAGCCATTGGACTCTAGGAATGACATCCAATCCAGGCAATGATAACAAGAAAAAATCTGCAATAATCTCAGCCCCTTGTGTCCGAATGCGAACTCCATCGTAGCGGCCCTGTCCGGATACCTGATCCTCGTTTGCTACCGTCACTCTGAACCTGGCATCAAAAGTGAGCACCACCCTCGCCTTCATTGCCACCCTCAGGTCCATGAAGTTGTATGAAGATCCTGAGTCCATGAGAATAGTCACCAAAAGTGCCCCTACCATCCTGTTTAAGCGCATAGTCTGTGGGGTTTCAGCCCCGGAGATGGCATGCAGGGAGATGGTCAGTGTAGGCTCCAATTCTTCTTCCTCCAGGGTCGGACCAGGGTCGTCACCTTCCTCCTCCTCTGCTTCTCAGTTGATCCACAACAACTTTTATACCTTACACCCAGGGACATAGTGTTCCTCGCAGTTGTAGCATAATCCTTTCTCCCGCCTCTCTTTCATTTCCATTGGTGTGAGCCGGCGAATTTCCGGAAACCTCCTTGGAGACGGTCTGCTCGCCTGAGGGTCGCTTGCCGCTGCAAGACGTGGTTGCAAGTACTCCGGCCTAATTGTTCATCTTCGAGTTGCCCGCTCTTCTTCCTCCAGCAGCGCCAGGCGAAAGGCTCTAGCTAAAGTCATTGGTTCGAACTTTTCCATCCCTGCTCGTACCTCTGTTTTGGGACCCGCAATGAAACACCCGACTAGAGATTCTTCGTTCAGCCCCTTCACTCGACTGGAAATCCTCTGGAACTCCTCCATATACTCATGGACGGTGGAGGTTTGAGAGAGTTTTGCCAGCCGCCCCACATGGTTGCTTCCCAGGGGCCCATTGAATTGAACATCCAAGGCAACTATAAATTGATGCCAAGTGGGCTCAGCTTGATGATCCTTGTACCAGCTATACCACTCCACTGCCCACCCTTCAAACCCAAGGCTCGCCACTGCAACCCATCTCTCCTCGTGTACCTCCTGTAGGCGGAAGTACTGTTAGATGAGGAGAAGCCACCCATCTAGCTCGGTGCCTCCGAACTTCGGCAGTTCCACCTTCCAAAACTTTTGCGGGGAGATAAAGCCACTTCCCGAAGCCACCACCAGTGGATGACCGGTGCTGAGACTCCTCCTGTTGGTCCAGTTGTGAAGCGATGTAGTTTAGACGCTCAAGCATTTCAACGAACTTCATATTCATTTCCTCACGGGATTTTTCCAAGCTTCCTACGCTATCCTCCATTGCCAGTATCTGAGCTGCCCAGGGGTTCGCTTACTCTGATACCAAGATGTTAAGAACCTCTTCCCGTTGTCGAGGAAAGAGCTTCGAGTTTCCCCGAGCTATGGTTAGAATCACCACTCAAAGGGGATGGCCAAAAACGAGACCCAAGAGAATACTAATAATGATAAGGCAAGTTCAATCATTCGTTTTCATTATTCAATCATTTATAATCATGGGCAGTCAAAGACCGTTACATTAATGATGAGACACTCAACACAATACTAACAACTTGTACGAAAGATCAAGTGGTTCGAACAAAATATTCGGAGTGGCTGACGTGGCTATGATGAGGCGGCAACGCCCGTATCATGGTGTATTAGAAACAATCTGTAGATGGTTCTGATCTGCAAAAAAATCGCATATTTCCATCTACAAAATCTTGTGGCTCTGTCCACCCAGAATAAATTGAATGGTTACTATATGCGCTATATGCTATATAATAAATGGCCAAAGTATTTCTATATAAAATTATGCAGACAATAGATCCACTGATCCACCATCCACGCCCATTTAGAAGAATGAAGAGGTTCAAAGTTAAAACCACTGACAAGTAAACAATAACGTAAATGCCCCTTACATTTTAAATGCATATCAAAATTCCTTATTCTCAAATACGAAATACCAAACATGCTCCACTTTTTAATTACTAATATACCTAAAAAAATTCTGAATTCCCGTCGTCGATCTACTTGTCGAAATCTTATGAACAGAACAAGTGTAAAAACATGTAGCATAAAGGGCAGTTTGGTCCTCAAATATGTTTTGAGGAAATTCAAAAATTGTCATCATAAAAATCTAAATATATCATGTGATAACAAGCCATTTCACAAAGTGAAGATACATGTCAAATAAGTTTAGGAGGTGTTTGGTAGGGTATTTCAAAAATAAATCCAAAAAAAAGCATTACCAAAAAAATCCAAAAATAAAGAACCAATCCCATATTCTATGCATATCCAGTTCAACATGATACCTTTGCAATCCCAATAGGCAACAAATATCAACTACTCAGCCACGTTTCACTTTAAGTAGGTGAGCAGACACGGTAATATAGTATAGTGTGCCAAGCAAAACGGTTTTAACCTCTCTCAAAAATTGAACGTCTACAAAATTTTCAACAAGATGTACTGATGGAGAAAACAATAAACCTAAACTCTATGTGAGAAACAGTTTACCACTTAATCAACCATTAAAAACAGAAGAAGTATGAACGAAAAGACTCGGAAAGAAAAGCTCTAAAGAGAACTTTGCCTAGTTGCAACTCGCCAACTTATGCAGTGGAGGCTGCTGCTGCTGCTGCTGCTGCGATGCGCTTCCTTGCTTCCTCGATGATGGAAAGCTTAATACCCTTTCCCTTGGGAAGAGACACCCACGGCTTGGTCCCCTTGCCGATGGTGAAAACATTACCCAAACGAGTGGCAAATTCATGCCCTGTTGCATCCTGGACATGAATAGTCTCAAAGCTTCCCTTGTGCTTCTCCCTGTTCTTGATGACTCCTACACGTCCCCTGTTTCTACCACCAGTCACCATGACCACATTCCCAACATCGAACTTAATGAAATCAATGATCTTGTTGGTCTCGAGGTCAAGCTTGATAGTGTCGTTTGCCCTGATTAGAGGGTCTGGATAGCGGATGGTGCGCCCATCGTATGTGTTCAGGTAGGGAATACCCTTGTCTCCAAACTGAACTGATCGGACCTTGCATAGCTTGAACTGCAGACAACAAAATTTAGTTGTTGAGAATTTCATGGGAATTGCCTTCTAGACCACCTTGATGGGGTTTAAAAAATGTCTTACCTTTGCCTCTTCATCCTTGATAGAATGGAGGCGGAAGCGACCTTTTGTGTCGTATAGAAGTCGGAAATTCTCATTAGTCTTGGGAATTGACACAACATCTGCAAAAGATGATCAGGGAAAGAAGCAAAAATGAAATACTAAACAAGTAAATGAATAAAAACGCAAGATTCATGAGCAAAAATACAGCAAAGAAGATGCACCATTTAATTTATGATGGAATAATCAAACCAATGTTTTAAAACGCGGAGGCATGAAGCAAGGCGTTCCACTACCTAGAGACGTGAGGCATAGTTCAGAACGCAAAAGGCATAAGCCTCCCGAACACAAGGAGGCGTAAGCCTCCTTAAGAGGAGGGGGATTAGGAGGAGGATGAAGAGGAATGGGGGATCTCATTTTTTCTTTATTTTTAATAAAAATCTTTTATATTAAGAAGAATAAAAATGCATAAAATTAGTTGAAAGGGGGGGTCTTGTCGAAGCGGAAAGCCCCCCAGCCAAAGGGGCAGGGGACAAACCACTTTCTTTCCCCTTATCTTTTCTTCCCTTCCCTTCCCTTCCCTTTCCTTTCCTTTCCTTTTCTTTCCTTTTCTCCTTTTTTTCTTCTCTTTCTTTTTCTTTCCCTTCCCTTTCTTTTCCTTTACTTTTTTCTTTTTTTTCTGTCTTTTTATATCAGAGGTGCATGAGGCGTACGCCTCAGAGGTGTCAGCGCCTCTGGCATACGCCTCAGGGCGTTTTGGGAGCACCTTGCCTGGAGGCGTGCGTACGCCTCCCACGCCTTTTAAAACACTGAATCAAACATGCCATTATTACATCCATGTGTCATCATTTACTTGGAACAAGCCCAACAATCTCATGATAAAATGAGATTTTATGTTGGGACTTGAGAGTAACATCAAAGCAAATAAATGTGATAATCACTCAATGTCAACTATTTTCTAGCACTAAGCAACACCGACTATTCATGTTTTTCACAATATAATGACTATTCTCCTTCCCATTCTTCAGAAAAACAAAAACTTTTGTTTGACGTTAATGATGAATTCCAAACTTGGAATATTAGACCTTTTACCCTTGTATGATTATGTTAGACCTTTTTTCTTAAGAGCCCCCCTCTCAAATATCCACTGGCGCATACTTAAATCACTTTATGACTTGCCAATTTGAAACTTAAATAACTGGTCAGAATTCGTTGATCATGTTAAGCCAGTTCAGTGGATTCGAACAAGACATCAAAGAAGAAGTCTTTACCCTAGTTTATCTCATTGGTGAAAACCACTGAATGATAACCATGAAAAGTAAAAATATCCTACTATGACAATCAGGAAGAGAAAAAAATAGATAATGGATTTTTTTATGAGTACCATAGTTTTTAGTTAAAGGAAAATCTGCCTTCATGTTCTAGAAATAATCAGGGGACACAACCTCTTCTAATTAGTAATTATACCAAATTGATGCATGTACTTTTTAGTAGATCAAGAAGTATAGAGTTTTAATTTAATGGATTAATTAGACTTATCTAAGACAGAAAAGCAGCCCTGTGGTGAATACTATTCCTATAACAAGGATAGTGCATAGAAGTGGGTGAGTATTTACCCATGAAACCGGCAGGGTATGTCTTGTCTGTTCTAACTTTTCCATCAACCAAAACATGCCTTTGCATTAAGATAGCAATAACTTCACGATATGTAAGAGCATATTTCAACCGGTTTCGCAGAATAAGGATCAGTGGCAAGCATTCACGGGCTTTGTGGGGCCCAGATGATGGTTTAGGAGCCTATAAAAAAAGTAATCTCATTAACATACAAGCATAAAAAATGTTAACAGAAGAAATGTCTGCCAAGGAAGTCTAAACTTACAAATGCACCCCCGAGCTTGTCAAGCATCCAATGCTTCGGGGCATTGAGCCTCTTCAGATGTTTCTTCAACCCTCTAGCCTGAAGTCCAAAAGTAAATCGTTCAAAATTAGAGGAGAGATTTAACAACCAAAGGAAAGCCAAAAAAAAGATTACAAAAAATAGACTTATCACTCAGCAACCAAACCAAGATCCAAGAATAACATAAAATATAACAAAAGTCCAAGTGTCAAAATTTTATCTTCGGGAAGCAAATAGCAATTTCATAACTCGTCTGCTCATGTGGAAGAGTTAGATATATACTTAACCTAAAGGGAGGGTTAGAGTTAGACATTCACTTGATACTAGGTGTGTTTGGATTCAATGAATAGAACTGGAAATCAAAAGGGGAAGTCAAAAGCAAATGAACAAGAAAGACCAGGACCCTCAGAAAATTCCAAAATCAACTAAAAAGGGTTGCTGTTGCAGGTAGTGCTTTTCCTAGGCTCTGTTGGTTTATCATTCCTTTGTATAAAAAAAAAAACAACTAAAAGGTTGAAACATGACTAAAATTCTTCTGCTCTCTGGATTCCAGCTAGATCCGTTTTCAGAGGAAAATGGATAAAATCCGGAAAGTAGTGATTTGTGAGTCCTCTTCTGTCCTGTTTTATCTGCTTCTACCCCAAGCCAAAGAGAGTCTAATAGGATGGAAAGCCTATTTCTGAACTAGCCCAAGATGAATTACAACAAAAAAAAAACATAAAACTTTCTCTATTAGAAACCCATTTGTAACTTCAGGGAAATACCAACACCATAAACCTTTAATCACCAAATTTTAAGAACCATGACCACAACGGAGGATTATTATTTAAGCACACGCTCATCAAATCCATCTAACAACCATCTCTACAAGAATTTATATCAACAAAATACGATACGGATAACTGTATGCAAGAACCATTGACTTCAAACCCAAGTACATGGAAAGTGCATATTCAACAGACATTCAAAGGAAGAAGATAATACAGTATTTGGAGCATTCCAATCATCCCCAAATACAAAGTGACAACCCTATAAAATTCAAAGGTTTTGAATGCTTAAGATGCTTCTTTTTTTATCAGTAGTGGATTTTTATCTTTTTGCTCCAAGGGGCTACACAACGTGGGTAGCCCATCCCCCAAACCCATAAACCCCCAACCTAACCTAGGTGCAGGCAAGATTCGATCCCAAGTACAAGAACGACATTATTTCTGTTATAAATTCTTTTTGTTTTGATCAATGTTGTTCCTTCATGATTTGAGTGAAGCTTCAATTAAGTTTCACGGTAATCATTTGGAAGAGAAACATTAAACCTCTGTATTTTGAGAGAAAATGTGGACTATAAATGGGTAGTGTCAAGAAAGGCAATTCTACATCAAACAAAAGAAAGGAAGCAGTACTAGTTATTTGAAAACTCGTAGACAATTGGGCACAAAAGAACCAATAAAGCTATCCCCGATGTAATATGCAGCTCCTAAACAGAGCCCATATTTCACCAAGGTAAAATACAATTCCTTCCAATATGACTTCTAGCTAATATGCCACTTCCACTGACAACTACCATGTCGAAACTGCAGACACAAGAACCATCTCTACAGGAGCATAGAAAATGTATGATACTGAATACGAAAGATCTGAGAACTGGATCACTAATAGATTTGAAGACATGAAATGGCATAAACTAGATAAAAATTTTATTTTTCAGGAGAAAAGGAAGGAAGAGGGCAACTTACCATTCTTCTGCCTGGGGTGCAGCGATCAGAGCTTGGGGTGGGATGGGGGGTGGGGGGAGGAGAGCGACGGCGACGCAGAAGAGACGGCTTTAGGGTTCTGAACGATGAAATATATACGATCGCTACAGAACAAGGCGATGTTTCCGCATGTTTACTGGTTCGATTGAACCCGAACCAATGTAAGTTGACCATAGACCGACTCGTCCGGTTAATGGAACTGATTACCGTAAACGGATCGGATTCGGCATCCGATTAATGAAAACCGAAATCCGAAATCTCGGATCAAATTCTGATTTGATCCGAAATTAAAAAAGGTAATTATTTTTTGACTTGTATAATACATTAATATAAATATAATATATTGAATTTTTATAATTTATATAAAATTACATTTTTATATTTTATATATAACTATATATTTTTAATATTAAAATCAACATATATTATAATATAATCGTATTTGAAATTTTGAATTTTAATAAGATCGGATGGCTTTAAATCTTAATCCAATCTAGTTATATAAGCATATCATCCAAATCGAATCCATTAGATCAAATGTCATATCAGATTTCAGATTTCCGAAGTCCATGGGAGCCCTTGAGTATGTCAATGTGGTCTCAAGGCACCCTCTCAGAGCAAGCCTAGTGAATAGGACTGTAAATGGATATGATTCAGATTGGATCCAGCTGCATCCACATCTACATCAGAATCAGAATATAAAATCTATAGATCCGCATTAGCATTCGATTATTATGTCATGTTTCAGATCGGATTGAGATTTAATCTATAATAATATTACAATCATTATATTGTGTTTAAAATAACCAAAATATTAAAAAAGTAAAAAAAAAAACTGATTAGTTTTAAAACATATATGTATAATAAATATGTATAAATATTAAATATTAAATTTATCGATTTTAAAATTAGAAAACTAAGATAAATAATTTGATTTATAATAGAAATAAATGAAAAGATTTCTAGGAGAGAAGAGAAGAGCGAGAAAAAGAGATGGGAGAAGCCAATAATCTTTCCAATCACCCGGCCCAATAATTTAAAAACCTCTAGAAGTATATTGATCCACTTTGGAATCTCAACAAAACTTTTAGGCTCAGTTTGGAAGGAGTGCAAATATAAATATGTACAGTACAAATACATACAAAATAATACAAAATGTAAGGTTTTGCACTCTACATATTTGTATTTGTACTCCATCCAAACTAAGCCTTAACAACATATTGTTACAAAAGTAAAAAATGCATAAATGATACCAGAGGTGACAGGACTACCATATCTTTTGGTTATACACTTCATGGCAACTCCCATATCCCATAAGTGCTACTTAATTCTCAACGTAATTGACTTATTTTCTCCTTGGCGAAAAACAAGAAAATAAGATAGGGAGTGAAAGAGGTAGGATTTGGAGAGAAATAGGGCAAGAGGGTTTGGGTCTATTATGGCCTTTTTATGGAAGAAAAAAAAAGACAAAATTTACTTTTTTTTATCTTGGATTTAAGTGGAGGGGCATCAAGGAGTTACAAAATAGTCCATAACGTTTTAGTGGGATTCTTTGCATTTGTTTTTGTTTTTGCCTTTTTTTTTTTTGGGTGGGGGGAGGGATTCACTCTAGGTCCCATTCATTTAGCGGTAAATAAGATGGGGAAGTTGGTCAATTGGTATCATTTTCCCGATCACCAATTTTATAATGTTCTTTTTGCAATAAGTATTGGCCCCATGGTAAAGAGAGCTGCATTTACCTGGGTAAAACTTACTCATGTCCTAGGTGGGTAAATAATTTTTACTCTAGGGGGGGGGGAAGTTTATAAAACATAATGCGACAAGTTTGTCTATTTTAATATTAACTTTTTATGAATAAAAAATCATTATATTACTTAGAATCAAAAGAACATGGGTAAGTAAATTTACCTGTCTAAGTAATGCCCAGGAAGCATTTACCTACGTAAGTGCACTTATCCAAATAAGTGAGAAATTTGTAAATGAGTGGGGCTTAACCATCTGTCACTACCTCCAACTACTAACTATACAAATAATACTAGTTTTAACAAAATGTTTGGGGGGCCAAGGACCTCAACTTTATACTTGTCGTCACCCATGTATATAAACTAGTAGGTGTGCACGTGACAGTTCTACATTATGATAATGATAGTAATAATATATCCAAAATTTTCTATAAACTTTATGTATATTTTATTTTGTTTGTTTTTATATTTTATATTTTTTCTTATTAATCAGATGTAGATTGTAAAATCCAAATCTAATTACATAAACAGCTCATTCAAATATGTGATAATCGAATAAAATTGTGAAGTTTCAAGTATCATTGATAGGCCTACCTATTTGGCTAGACTATTCTTTTTGTAATGTTTTATTTTGTTTATGTATCTTTTTTCTTTTATTCATTTATCAAAAATGTAAGATTTAAATAGAGAAAATTGAATGAGGTGAAAATTAGTAGTTCAATTTACAATTTAAACCTTACAACTAGACATGTTCATGGATCGAGCTCGGGCTTGACTTTTGCTAAAATTTTAATGGGCCCAGCACAAAGCCCGAACCCGACACAATACAATTAAATATGGGCTAAATTCAAAATTGAGTATTTTAGTAAAAAAAAAGTATCACAATCTTATTCATATTGTTAATAGTAGTGTAAATATAGAGTTATAGATGTGTTTAATTTTTTTATAGTTATTGTTGTATTTTTGTGTGTAAAAATAATTCTAATATGACAAACTTATACATGCGCCTGAATGTTTTTTTTTGCAAAATTTATGTATTTTTCATTTTTTTTATTTTATTATTTATTTATGACATTAAAGGTTACACATTTAACCCAAAAGTTGAACTGTTTATTAATTTTTATATTTCATTTTTTGTTAGTTCTAAATTATGTATTTCACTTTCATTATCAATAAAATAATTCTTTTTTATTACACTTATTATTTTTTTAATTTGATTAATAAAAATATAATAAATGTGTCTACCTTTTCTTATAGATTTTTTTTTAATTTTATATATTTATTTATATTTTAAAATTTTTATTACTTAACTATGATCTCATAGGTTGATCAATTTGATTTTAATGGTTGAATTTCTTACCCACCACTTGGATAAAGAATGGTTTCGTTTTTTAGTCAATTTTAAAATATATGAGTTTATATTGTTAAAAATATTGACATAGATTTAATTAGAAAAAAAATTATTAAATAAAAAATAAATTAAATAAATATAAGATTTAATAAGAGAAAATTGGGATTTAATACCTTAAGTATAAAACTTAATGAGAGGGAATTAAATGAGGTGGAAAGTAATAATTGAAGTTACATTTTAACCCTTATAATTCGAGATAGACTAAATACACAAATATGAGTATTTTAATAGCCATTAAATCTAGCAATAAATCTATAATAAAATGATTTTTATACCCTTTATAGAACAAAAAAAATAGAAGATAATTTTAATCCAAAAAAAGTTTCACATTACATCCACACTTATATATATATATATATATATATATATATATATATATATATATATATTATACTATGGCACCTAAAATACATATTATATAATATTGTATGTACATAATATAATCTACACTATATTATAAGGATACTTGCCTTAGGCCTAGAACCAATCATTGTTCCGGGCTATAGCCAAAATCACATATGTAAAGCCAATCACCCCTAGAGTGGCTATAATGTATTGTAAATAGGCTGTGAGTAGCGCCAATCACCCCTAGAGCTCCCAAAAAAGCGACTCCATGGAGAGATAGTCTGTTGTTAACAATACTACTCTACTCATAATTTTACAACTATTATATAACTCTTCGGTTGATCATAGTTTATAACCTGAAATTTATCATTACATTGTTCTAAGCCTTGACTCTTTGAATTGGTAAAACCCATGAGAATATATCCTAAACTATAATGCATTAAAGCTTGCATTTGCATCTCTTTTAGAGTAGGTTTCTATCATTATCCTGAATTCACATTATCCCAAATTTGATTTGAATTCTAAAAGAGAGTTTTTACTTATATATAAAACCTCATTCGATTAGATTTCTTTATCTCAAAGTTCATGAGTTAGTTCATGATTCACTAATTGCTTTTTTTTTTTTTTTGTTTTTTTTTTATATATTAAGGTTGTGTTTGGTTTGAAGAAAAAAGTGGCAAAAGGAAGGGAAAGGCAGAGAAATCTTTATAAACATTGTATAGATTTTTCTACCTTTCCCTACATTTTCCTTCAAATCAAGCATAGCTTAAAGGACATAAAATGTGCTACACAACACGAGGGGTAACCCCTCCCTCGAGCATCAAACAAAAGAATAAGACTTAGAAAACAGTTTGGCCTCAAGGACGCCTCCTCTCTACCCTCAAAATCCAGATTCCCACCGCGAAATTTGCTTTTCTGAATGCATAGGAATATTTCACATTTAACCTATTCCTTTCATAAAGATGATAGCATTCTTTCTATAATGTTTTTAATATTCCACACTACTGGAATATCAAAACCCTTTAGGCAATCAATCACAAGCTTTGAATCGCTTTCAATAATCAGATTCAAACCTGTAAACTCAATATATAGCCATACAATGGGGTTTCAGAGGCAACCACGCTTCCCCAACACTAAACACTAATTGAACAAAATCCAATATATTTGCTACTCGTGTGTAAGATTCGTTCCTGATCATCATTTCTTACAATGTACCCAATTGCAGCGGCTCCATCACTTTGACTCGAAGCATCAAAATTAATTTTGAAGCTGGAGGCACTAAGCAGATCCATATTGGTTCATCAAATTGAACTCTCGACACTCCTCCCTGGCTTTTCTTTCATTTTCATTTTTCTATAAAACGCCAAAGTATATAGCCAGTAAGCTCTTTTGGAATACTATTTCCATGTTTTTCCAAATTAAATATTCTGTTCCACCATGTAAGTACAGGTTAGGCTGATCGGTGGTTTTAGGCACAACTGAATCTCTCATAATCAACCAGACTTGTTTAGCAAGATGGGACCTCAGGAAGATGTGAGAATAATCCTCACTTTCCCCACAGAGAGTGAATCGCGCCTGACAGGTCTTAAAA